CTTTCTTTCTTTCTTTTTAAGGTCAGACCCTCTTTTCCAATAACTCACTGCCTCATCGATGATCTTTTTAGGATATTGTCACCACTTTTCTTTCTTTCTTTCTTTTTAAGGTCAGACCCTCTTTTCCAATAACTCACTGCCTCATCGATGATCTTTTTAGGATATTGTCACCACTTCTGTCAGCCCATTTGGGCACTCCTCCTCCTCTTCCTCCTCCTCCTTACTTAAACTGGGACCTTTGCACTTCTGAAGCTGTAAGCTGCTGTTGCATTCCTCTGTCACTCACTGATCGTACCTCACTGGAAATATGGGTTTCTTGGACATATTCAGCCATCCTCTCTGGGCTGCTTTGTCTGCTCTCTTGGCTGTTGTTGTGCGCCTGCAGCGCAGAACCATCTGGGACCCTAAAACCTGCGCTGTGCGTCTCACTGGGAAGACTGCTATAGTAACAGGAGCCAATACAGGTTAGTTTAGCTCACAGATTAAATAAAGTGGGACTGTCTGACGATAATTAGCTTTACTCATCCTACTTTGCTGTGTTTTGCATGGTTTGTCTTTTGCAAACCACTTTTAAAGATAAGTTAAATATTGGCTGGAAATCAAACTTTTACTTGGCTGCAGGCAAGACCTTTTTATTTTAGTAAATGTTAACATGATTCATGTTTTAGCACACTGTTGAAAATGGTTTTAAGTGCATCCATGACAGAAGAATAAAAGTTTTTTGAAAAAAAAAAATTCAAATTTTACAAGGACTGCTTTGTCTAGTAGCCAAAACAACCATGTGCTGGTTTATTATGTCTTTACAACACTCTGGTGATAAAGATATTGCACAATCTTAATGCATTCTATGAAGGTCGTATGGATCAACAGATTAGTGCAAGTTAGGTTTTCTTGTAATCTAAACTCTTGTCCAGCTAATTCAGGTTTTCCTTTCATAGTTAACTGTGAAGTGATGCCAAGTTCTGCAGCTTAATGACTTGATCATAAAGTAAAAGGCATTTCCTCTAAGATTCACAGATAAAAGGGCTTCAAACTGCCCCCCTCACAGTTAACAAGGCTGCATAGATGAATATGTGCTTTTAATGTTAAAGTTGTCAAAATGACATCTGTTTTGTGTTATGGTCTTAGTGGATACATGAAGATAACATCATAATTAGATTGAAAAGCAAGGGTTTAATTGTCCACAACTCTGAGGCTAAAAAAGTCAGAGTTCGCCATCAGTGAAAAGCAGCCAAAGCAATGCTTTCCAGCCGTTGATCCTTACAAAACATTTTGGGCTGTTTGTTTGTCTCTTGAGTAAAGTCCTACGATCAAAGAGACCAAAACCAAAGAAAGATTAAAAGAGGAACACATGTTGAGTTTTTAAGTTCCCTCTCTTATGGGCAGATTGTACCTACTGCATCACGGGCAACAGGTCATACATGGATACATCCAGAGAAGTCTTTTGACTCTTTGAACTTTTTAACCGTTTTCTCTCGTAAAGGTTTTATTGCATTTTATGGGTTTTTATCAGCGAGATGAAAACTAAGTAGTGAAAACAAAGTGATACTCTTTTTTAAATGCTTAACAAGTGCATCATTTAAAAATAAAATCATGGAGTACAATTATGGCACTCAAATCCTGCTGTCAGTCTTTATGACTTTACCAGAAAAAAAATTACCTTTTGAGAATCTTTTGAAAAATACCTCAAGCTTTGTAAGACTTAAGAGAGGGGTTACTGAAAATATCACTTTTCTAGTGTTTGCACAGACACACAGGAATATGCTTTCTTCCTCCCCATTTCTTTAAAGACCTGGCTGCATGTTTAGGGACAAATGATGCTGTTAAATATTTATCAGTTTAGGATATCTCTGTGTTTGAATGTATAGAATGAGGAGCATAGTTATGGTTAGTAATGCCACTAGCTTTTAGCTAATAGCAGTTCCCCCTGCTTTCTGACTTTAACAAGCTGAACCATTCTCCTCTCCAACCTTTCCACAAATCCAAGGAACCATCAGCTCTACCCAAATCCTCCTATCAAATATAACCAGCTCTCTGTCATTGCTAAAGGAAGAAATTCCCAAAGCATGTTAGAGTTCTGGTTCTGTTATGTTTTTTCTTTTGGATGTTCAGTTTTGCTTTGCTCCTTGTTTTCTAGTTTTTTATGGTTTATTTCTTATTTTATTGTGTTCTTTGTTTTTTTCTCAGTTTCTGTCTTAGTCTTGGTTCTTTTATGTTTCCTTTTGAGTGTTCAGTTTTGCTTTATTCCATGTTTCACAGTCTTAGTGGTTTAATTCTTATTTTGTTGTGTTTTCTGGTTATTTTCAGTTCTCAGGTTTTTATTTGTTGCCCACTGCTGCCCTCTTGAGTTCTCCTTTTTTCCCTTGCCCCTTTCTTGTTTCTGCTCTACTCACACCTGCTCCTAATCTGCTCGTTAGCTCTCCCTTTGTTTCAGTCTCCCATAAATACTCTCTCTGTGCAGTTCTTCAGTGCTGGTTCCTCGTCAAACTTCCTCCAACTCTGTCTCTCTGAGCCTTGGTCATACTTGGTAATCGAAATGTAATGAGCATATGAGGAACACATGAACACTAATGTTATATTAGTGTTTAAACCCTTAGTGAAATAAAGCTTGTCCAAGCTTCAACAACAGTTCACAGCATATTCCTGTAGCATAGCGTAGCATGCGATCTATCCTGTTAGCTTTGTCGTTACTCATCAGTAAACACATGAAATCATCAACATCATCAAAAGACATATTGTTTGTTCTGTCCCTAATTATGTCAGACCTGCAAAGCTTTTTGTCAATTTCCATTTGGAAGGCTTGAGTTTCATTCAGCTGCAGCTCAGCAGTCAGGCCACAGCAACCAGTGGTTTCTTTGTCTCAGTGGCTCACAACAGGGGTCTTTAGGAGGCCTTCTCTCCAGTCTGGCTCTGTAAGTTCTGAAACTCAAGGGAAATGTGTTGCAAAAGGTCTGTTTTGCAGCAGGCTGGTTCTGAATGGTCACCATAATGACTTATCCTTGAGGATTCTGGAGATCTCGGTCTTTCAGGCCCTGATCGCCATTTTAGCTGCCTCTTCGAAGTGCACCAAGGCAGCCTCATGGGAAAAGATAGGTAGAAGAGAGTGTTCTGTGGTTTTTGTCTGTCCTCACAGAGAGGGAGGTGGTTGGTCACACCTTTGTGGGAGTTCCTGTGACTGCTTTTGGACCCTTGACTGAAAAGCAGGGTTGCAGAGATTCCACAGCTGTTTATTCAACAAAGCTGCAGCTTCCTCTCTGGTCATCATGTCAAGATGGAACATGGACACTGGTTCCCGATGTCCA